GTTTAAAACCAGGTGAGCGATGCAGGCCCATTGGGCCTCTTGTATGATCTCATTTTGACATGGAGGGTGAACATTTTTGAATGCGTGAGAATTATGGCTCACGTGGCATGAGACACGTTTCAGTGTGTGTTAGGGCGTCTAAGCGTGAGATTTTGTCTCTCGCTGTGACACTTGTCAACCCTGTTTCAGGGTTTCTGGGTGTTTTTGTGTGGTTCATATGATACATTCGAATAAACTTTTTGCAGGAAGAATGTCATGTTCACCATGGCTACCTTATCTGGCAAGGCAGCAAATGTCAATTAGGAAGGTATCGTTAGTGAATTCCCATCAAAATTTGAATTCGCTGTCACAATATGATTTGTCCTCAGTTTATCTAACAGTCTAGCAGAAATACCCAAACACTTTAGGATTGAAAAGCTTCTTCTTGTTATAATATCCTTTTAAAACGATATTTTGATTTGAAAGGTTTATTTAGTGTCACTATATATATATACAGTGGAAATGGGAATACTTTATACGTCAATGTATACTTGATCTATCTTCCAATAAGCCCAGGGAACAGAGCATTATGTGTAACACAGAGTAGGGGTATATGGGCTTTCTAAAGGACAATGAATGAATATTTGCTGGTGTTTCCACTGAACTGCAATACATATAGGTGGGCTTATTACCAGGCATGGGCTTATTGCTGGATTAACACAGTTTGTCAGTCAATCAATGTTGATAGTTACAGTTAAAACTCAAACTTTTAATAACTGATAATCATCAATGTGGGATATTTTTTTCAAACCATTTAAAAGAATTTTTACTAGCCTCCTGTGAAGTACAGTGTATATAAATTTTCTGCTATATTTCCCTACAGCTCGCTCCTTTTTTTCCTGGCAACAGGAGTAAAATTATTCATGAAAATTCAAATGGTTCAATATATATATATATATAGCTCCCAACTGTAATTGTATATTTATAATCCAGCTCTCACTTTTTAAACATAAGCATATGGAAAACAATTTCATTGATTGGGTTTTTGGCACCAGTAGGGAATTTCCCAACACACCCTAAATTAAACTCTTGGCTTTGACCTTGGCACAGGTATGACCACTTCGAAGATATTCTCACCAACGAAGAGGAAGAAGAAATCACACGAGAACTACGGATAAAGCAGGCCGCCTTCGCTGAGATTGCTGCCAGAGACGCAGAACTCATCAAGATCAGGGATGCACAGTTACCAGCTAAGAAAAAGCCAAGGCAAACTCCAGAAACAAAGGAAGATGGGTTCAAAAACTACATGAAGATGTACTATGATCGCCCACGGCTTGCAGTAAGTATTCTGGCCGATTTTTTTTTAAAGTTTTCTCAGTTATTATTCTTAAATGATATTCTTCAACTTAACTTTTTATACTAATCAGATACTTATCTGATTCAAAACATGAAGATATCTTAAGTTAAGATGGATGGATTGAAACCATTGTTTAGCATTCTTTGTATATTTTTTGATACTGTAAACAGATTTAACCTTATTTGTGTTTCTTAAGCTCTAGTTCAGCTTACCAGCATATTACACAGAATAGTTTTTGTCTCGCCGCCACAATGTAGCGGAAGCGAGACTAAGGTGTTGCTTTCCCGGGGACAGCGGCGTCGACATTAACTTTTTGTGTTTAAGTCAGTTTCACTGAAAGTATACGTGCTAGACCAACCAAACTCGGACCATATACGCATCTTAAGTAGTACATCCTAATCCATGCATCAAATGATGGATTGCGCCTTCCTTTTATGGTCTATTGACTTTGTCAGCATCTCCATCAATATTAAGTTTATGTGTTTAAGTAGGTTTCTCTGAGAAACTATACATTTGTAAGTGCTAGACCAACCAAACTTGACATGTGCGTTGATGTTCAAAGTGGGGCACTGGCGAGACATATCAATCCGATTGGCTTGTTTAACCTAAAAGCTGTGAAAGCCACATGTATTTAGAATTATCATATGTGTTTTAGATATATTCAACACAATGTGTCAAGAATGAAGATTCACCCAAATAAATGCACATAATTATGTTTTCTGAGGTAGTCATGTTCGATTAGAAATTGTTTTCTTTGTGATCAGATACCCGAGGATGAAATATTCCCTGAAGACAAGATCAAAGCAATATTGAAAGGTCCGGCCGAAAAAGGTAAGTTATCTCCCTTGATGTTACAGAGATTCAAATGTGTTCAGACAGTAGTGGTCATGCATGGTGACATAAACTTGTTTGCTAGTGTTTGAACCAAGTTGTGGCGTTCGCACAAAAGTTGTATTCCAGTGATGGAGGAAATGTGATTTAAATTAATACAACTTAAAATAAAAAAGCAAGATTTTAACATTATACACTTTTACTTAGGGGTGAACTTGATTGTGATATGCCAGTCATGCTGGTTGCTGGTGGTACCACTACTTGTAAGGG